GGATTGACAAAAGTCTACTTTCATTGTTTTCAGCTTTAAAAATTTAAGCAGACCGACTGTTTTTAGATTTTCTGTTGCTTTTTTTCCTCAGCGTTTTCAATTTTTGAGCTCCAAAAAAGAAGTTGCATATATCAGTATCTCAATTTATACTCATTCTCTGTGGCCTAGAGGATTTTAAAATAAAATGTAATTTTATTCAGAGTGCACAAGATATCAGTCTATTTTCATGAAAAAGATTAGTTAAGTATAAAAATTCAAAAAATTAAGCTATTTTTATAAGTTAGTTTTCTTCTAATATATCCGAAATTACATATTGAGATTAAAGGGCAAATACATATTATAATAGATGAATAAAACATTTTAAAACCAAAAGTATTTAAAGAAATCTGAAATTTTTAAATGTATTTTTTGGAAATTTAATTAAATGTTATTAAATATTTTTATAAAAGTAAAACTGTTTACAGGTTTAGGGTACAATGTCTCTTTAGATGTTAAGGTAAAGAATTAGTATCCTGCTTCATGCAGTTTACATCTTTACAAATTTATCAATAAGACCTGTTTAAGTACAAAATGTTCCTCAGATGCCATGTGCAATTGTTCCAATTACTGTACTAGTTTGCTATTAACTTTAGATCCACTGATCGGAACACTTAGAGAAGCAAAAAAACGGATGCTTGGCATTAGTATATATTATTATGGAAGAATCTATTGCATTTATGCCATCCAAGAAGAATGATTTGACTAGTTACTCTGTCTTTTCATTAATGATTCTCAAATCTAACTTGCTAATTAAAATAGTATCTAACTCAACAGTCTACAGTGTCCACAAACCTACAAACCATCAGGGCATTCTAACTCAGTCACATCTTGATTGGAGCAAAGAGATTGGGCAAGACATGTGTAGAAGCATTTTCTTGGGACCTCAACAGCTGCAACCAGGAGCTAGGCTGTTAGTGTTAAAAGTCATCTGGATGTCAAAGATAAAGCTGACCATGTATTTTTTAGTAAATGTATTTTGTATGTGTTTGTGATATGTAGTAGAGTTCCAGAGTGGTGCATATGGTTAATGTGCTTGGCTGCCAACTTAAAGGTTGGAGGCTCGTGCCTCAGAAGAAAGGCCTGGTAATCTACTTCTAAAAAATCAGCCATTGAAAACTCTGTGGACCACAGTTCTATTCTGGCACGCATGTGGTCATCATGAGTCAGAGTTGACTCGTTGGAAACTGGTTTTTGTGATATGTAGGGTTTTCTAAAGCGTGTGGCCTAGGGCCAGAACCCCTCTCTCCTGGATGTGTGGGCTGTACTGGGTGTGGAAGTCTCTGGGCATTAACTATTCTCACTACGGGACCATCTGCAGATGCAGTCACTACTTTCTCAGGACACTAGGGGGAGCTGGTGCAGGAAGGAAGAAATGGCAGCTGGTATTGGGACTGGCTGTCATAATGTCTGTGGGCTCTTGTAAATCTCCTTTGATGGAATCCCAGAAATAATAGGTTGGGACTTTTCAAGTGGACTGGAGGTCCTGCGTGAGCAGCGGGCCTGGAACAAGAACTATGTTTAATTGGTGCTAATGGTATTGGTTAAGAGCTTGGCTGCTAACCAAAAGTTCGGCAGTTCAAATCCACCAGCAGCTCCTTGGAAACCCTGTGGGGCAGTTCCACTCTGTCCTGTAAGGTCACTATGAGTCGGAATTGGCTTGACGGCAATGGGTTTGGTTTTCTTTTTTTTTTTTTTGGTTTAATGCCACTTCATATGTATTTTCCTGTAGGCTGGTAGGGCCTGATAGCGTTTGGGTAACTCCTTTCCAAGTCAATAAGTGCTTCTCTCTTCACCTGATGGGGTGGGAAAAGATTCTTCTATCCTGTAAATCTTTATACATTTGGAAAGAGTAGGGATATCTTTATTCCTCCTTGTGAGTGTTTTCTGTGGAGGGAGCCAGGAACACAATTTAATCTTTGATCTTCTAACATTAGGATTATAAAGGGATTTAGTATTTATGTAAGGGTCCCTAGGTGGTACAAAGGGTTTACACTCAAACCCACCCAGCAGTATTATGGAAGAAGACGCCTGGTGATCTGCTTCCTTTAAGATAACAGTCAAGAAAACCCTATGGAACAGTTCTACTCTTGACACACATGGGGTTGCCAAGAGTCAGAATTGACTGGACAGCAATCTGAGACAACGACAGTATTTGCCTAATTAGGAATCTTAACCATGGATGGATGGACTTCAGAGGGTCTGAAAATTTGGTTGTGAAAAAAATTAAAACTTTGATTTCACTAACCTCTATCTAAAATTTAGCACTCCCTTCAATTATTGATGTAGGCAAAAAGTGACAGTAGTATTAATATCTTCATTACCAATAGAAATCATAGGTATTTTCATATCACATTACTGTTGTGAGTAATATATTGAAATACCTTTATGCTTATGACTATTCAAAATCATGGTGGTTATTAGACCAACACTATATCTTGTTTCTAATTGTTAACAAAGAATCACATCTATTCCTGTCATAACTTTTTTTTTTAATTTTGAGATAAGTATCTTTCAGTATAATTAGTTTTTTTTGTAATCCTATGTATTTTATGTAGCTTAAAGCATTATGCTAAGAAGGAACCCACAGGGCTTCATCAGACTGCAAAAGGGGGTCATGGTGGTAAGAAGATTGAGAAGTTCTGATCTAGGGATATTCCATAGTTTACTGTAAAGGAGCAAGGCCTTGGAGACTGTAGTGAGTTACTTCAGGTCACACAGCGGAGCAGGAATTAAAAGTCACGTCCTTCCTGCGCTGTGTGGCCTCCTGGCACCTCATCCAGATCTGAGTGCCGGGGGAATGAGGTCCTTTGTCTTATTCAGCACCCCCTTTTGTGACAGTGAAGGCTGAGTCAGCATGGTGGAGTTCAGAGAGGCTTCCTTCTGTGTTGGCACTTCTCTGGCTTGTGGTGGCCTTCCCCCACCTCGCCTCTCCCTGGCAGTGGTGGTGAGGTGGGTGGTGAGGTGTGGTCAGCTCCAGCAGTGCTTGCCCTTTTACCCGGCAACATCACAAGGCATGTTGTCCTAAGACACCTGAAGGCTCAACATAAAGAGTTAACCCTGATTGCTGGACCCCATTTTACTGATGGCACTCCAGGCAATATGGGTATCCTCTTACTGTCAGGGGAAATTTTTCCACCAGCCCAGTGGGCTCTCTTAAAGTAATTTAGGAAGTCTTGTTAATTGTTTCTTTCTCAATTTTAGACTAATGTATGCCTGAAATAGGAGCTCTGGTAGCACAGTAGTTAAAGCACTCAGTCAGCTGTTTGAACCTACCAGCTCTGCAGGAGAAAGATGTGGCAGTCTGTTTCCGTAAAGATTTACAGCCTTGGAAACCCTACGGGGCAGTTCTACTCTGTCCTATAGAGTCGCTGTGAGCCGAAATTGACTCAATGGCAACGGGTTTGGTTCTTTTTATGCCTGAAACATCAATAGAAAAATATAGAATGATAGCCAACATTTATAGTTTGTTTCTTAGTGCCATTTGCAAGCACTGTGTAATTGTCTCGACAATTATAACAATGTTAATATTATCCCCATTTTGTAGATGAGAAAACTGAGGCCCAGAGGTCAAGTAACTTGCCTGATGTTATTTATGTGTCTAGTAGGTGGCAGATGGGATGTGAAAGTAGGTGTTCTCGCTCCAGAGTCCATGCTCTGGGCAACTGTGCTGCATGGCCAGTTACTATGTCTATGTCTTATACCACAGTTGTCCAATCTCTTTTACTTTTATATGGGGCTGGACTAGGAATCCTTGTATCTGAGATGAAGGGAGGCTTTGGATTATTTTGATGTAGTCCTGCCTGGGAGGAGCTTTTTCCAGTCTCTCAGAGTTGTCTCTGAAAGGTACTGTGTCATTCGGTTCAAAGTCTGTTCGGCTTTAATCCCTTGTTTGTGCATATTCAGGCAATATGGAGAAGAAAAAACATGTTCAAACCCAAAAAAGTTGAGTAGTGCTGCAAAATGCTAGATTTGAATTAACTTGGTCTCTATTTCAAGGATGTAACAGTACCTTGATCTTTACTTTTTGAAGTCTTCTCATCAGCAACATCGGCAAGTACTACATCTTTGAAAAGTTATATCTGAATTCTTGTGTTTGGAAAAAAAAGTTTGTTAGTGTTTCTCTTCTTGAACACTAGTTGACATTTTGCCAACTAGTTAAAAGTCTGCAACTCTGAGTGCTGGCTGAGAAGCTAAGCTTGCTGTAACCAGTCATCCCCAGATGGCTGGATTCTGTTTTCTACCAGTTTTATAGATTCTCAGTGGTTGCATACTTAGGGTTATGAGGTGTACTGTTCCACTTGTTTTTGCCAGGCATACACAGTACATTATTTGATAGATTGAGACAGATGGTATAGCTCAAACTAAAATGATGAGGGAGAAAAGCAACAGAAAAAAATTCGGAAAAGGGTGTTTGATTTTTCTAATTCACATTTGGAAAGGAAATTTTAGCTTCTGTGATTGACTAATAAATGCAGTGTTGCTATATACGACTTGAATTTGCTAACGTCTGTTTTAACAGATATAACTGAGTAATCGGCAGGAAACAATCTTTTTCTCCATGGATGCTGTTCCAAACTTTATGGAGTCTCCTCCAGGTAGAAAATATTTGGACCATTGGAAGACATCGAAAATAGTTTTGGGTTTTTCAGAATAAGGTGCATTACCACCAATACCAACCACAACAGACAAATGCCAAATTTTATTTTTAAGTAAGAAAAAAAAAAAAAAACACACAGAGATACATGTGTGCGTGTGTGTGTGTGTATATATATCTATCCTGGTGGAGTAGCGGTGATAAGAATAATGAATCAGTCCTTGTGCAGCTGCTTCCTGACATTTCTGCAAATTGTTGTGGAAAAATTAATGAAGGTTAGATCAGTAATGGTTTCAAGCTTGGCCAGTGGAAAGTATGACAGTGTTTCCATCAGCAATTAAGTTGGGCTGCTTTCTTTTTTCTATAGGGGAAGTGGTATGATGTGTGTTCTCCACAGGAAATGGAAAACGACAGCTGAGCCGGGTGTGCGCACAGGTATGGAGTAGCACTCGGAGCGCTTGGCGTGGCTCTCCGCAATTCTCTGTACAGATTTGCATTTTCTGCAGAAAGCATTTTGCTATACGAGACGGAGAAATCGTCCCTTAAAAAGGGAGTGAGGATTTTGGAGTTTTATTCAGCTTCCATTTCGGACACACGGATATGCTATGAATCTAAACTTTGGGAACCAGAAAGTGGAACTTATGACAAACAGAAAGTGAAACTCACCTATCTAATTTTATTTTTCAAGCCGAAGGTAGTTCAACACAGGCCCGGTTCACATCCTGTGTAACCCTATGGGATTTTCCCCAGTATTAGTTACAAATTTTCCCATAGGGTCACACAGGATGTGAATTAAAGTAAACACTTAACAAGCATGATGAAAAGGAAATTAGCTTTCTAAATGATCCTTTCACTGTGCATATCCTGAGTAATTAGAAACATGGGAAAGGGTCCTTTCGATGTCTCATTATCAAGCTGTTACATTATTAATAGGATATATTAATATTAAACTAAATTATATATAGAAGTTTTCCTTTTTGGAAAAAAAAAATATTAAAAATTCTAAGGAAACAGTAGATCAGTGGTTCTTCACTTTTTTGTTGGGGGGGTGCTGTTCATAGGCCCCTTTAGGACTCTGAAGAAAGCTCCTGAGCCTTTCTCCATGAAAAAATGCACATAGATACATTTTGCATAGTTTTGAAAGTTTCACAAATTGCTCAAGTGACCTTAGACCTCAGGCATTTTTCCTAACATTTGGTTTTTAAAAGCTTAAAAAGGGAAACTATTTTTATGGGGAGATAGAAAATTATAGCTCCAACTATAAAATGTTAATTCATTCTAAGTAAAGATTTTCTAAGAGGGACTTTAACTATAGCAATAATAATTCCTTCCCTATTTCACCTGGCAAACACTTACTTGACCTTGGAAGGGAGCTTGTATATTCCCAGAACACACAAAATTGCATTTGAAGCTGGCTGTGCCAAATTTTAGCAAGTGACTTCAGTGTCCTGCCTCAGTGTCACTATTTCCAAAATGGTAGCAACAGTGAGATAACATGTGATAACATATATAAAGTGTCTGGCAAATAGTCCATGCTTAATATACACCTCTGTTCTTCTTTTCTTCCGTTCCTCCTTTGAGACCTAGTATAAATGCCGCTTTTCTTGCGCATTCTTTTGCAACTCCACAAGGCAGATACTATATGTATTTTTTCACTTTCCTGTTTGTGTTCTTATATTGCTTTATAAATTTCTTTACTCTTAAAATTGTATTATCATTCAGTGTTATTTCAAGGTGTGAGCTTGGAGGATCTTTTATCTTTATTAGAAATGTTTTATTCCGTACGTGCTGAGTCTAGCATAATGCTTATAGGCACTTCCTGTTTATTATATAGTAATAGTTTAATGCTTTTTAGAGATGAATAATTTGGATGTGGGCTTATAACTGTTACTACATTATATTTATGTGACTACTAGTCAGCTCAATGGTAGGGCAGACTGAAGAACAATTGATGCATTTGAATTATGGTGTTGGCGAAAAATTTTGAATATTTCATGGACTGCCAGAAGAATGAACAAATCTGTCTTGGAAGAGGTACAGCCAGGATGTACCTTAGAAGGAAGGATGAAGAGACTTCATCTTACCAACTTTGAACATGCTATCAGGAGAGTCCAGTCTCTGGAGAAGGACATCATGCTTGGTAAAGTAGAGGGTCAGCGAAAAAGAGGAAGACCCACAATGAGCCAACAGTGGGCTCAAACATAGCAACGATTGTGGGGCTGGCTCAGGACCGGGCAGCGTTTTGTTCTGTTATACTTAGGGTTGCTATGAGTGGAAGCTGACCTGACAGACTCTAACAGCAGTCAGCTTAAAACAGAGGTCAAATTGCCAGTTTACAACCAAAGTGAAATTTAGTGGGAGAACAAAGTCTAGAACTAAAAGTATATATTTTCTAGCTTTGGTTATAAACCAAAACCATACCAAACCTGTTGCCATCGAGTCAATTCCGACTCATGGCGGCCGTATAGGGACAGAGTAGAACTGCCCCATAGGGTTTCCAAGGAGCAGCTGGTGGATTCCTACTACCAGCCTTTTGGTTAGCAGTCAAGTTCTTAACCACTGCACCACCATGGCTCCATAGAGTATTCTAAACCAGAACCATAGTGTTTTGACTAGAGTTTCAGTCAGATTAATCAGCCAGTGATCCACAAAAAAAGGGAAAGAAAAAAAGAGAAACTGTTAAATTTCTAAAATGTATTGACCTAATATCTGAGTCTCAAGAAAATTTGGGTTTGCCAAGCCTTAGTTTTACATGTACTTGGGGTTGCTATGAATTGGAACCGACTCAATGGCACCTAACAACAACAGGCTTTAGTTTATATTTTAAGTTTTAGAATCTAAGGTTGAAGGATAGCTTGAAGGACATATGTATCTGCCTTTCTTCAGATTGTTTCTTAAATTCTCACATGCCCTTGCTAATGCTTTTCAACTTGAGTTGAACAAAAATGGGGCCTGTCCTCAAGGACCTGTCATTCTTCAACTCCCATTTCTCTCTCTCTCTTTCTCTCAGTCTCTATACCAGCTGTACAAACAATTTTAGGCGCAACTTAAATAAAAAATTTACATTGAACCAGATTGTCTTAGTACTTGAACAACCCAGCAGCAGTAAGCTCTGTTCTTTCTGAACATGATTAATGGTTTCCAACCAGTAAGCTATGATTTAGAGCCTTGAGCATAAGGAGTGACTTTAGCCAGGAAAGTCTTGGAAGAAGGAAACATATAGTTGGCTGCAGGAGATCTTAGAGCAAATTTGTGTGGGAAAAACAGCAGTGAGAACACAGAAAGAAAAAGGAGGGAGGTAGGATATGATATCTGGTAGTCTGGGGAAGGTCTTTGACAAATGGGGAGGAGCTATTAGTTGTAATGTGCAGAGTACTAGGAAACCATGAGTAGAGTACTAGATGAGGAGATACGCAATGGTGCCAGGTCAATGGAAATTACTTCAGAAATATAACTAAGGATCCATAGAGCAGCTAAAGGTGTTGAGTGATGAGGAGGTTGTCATTGTTGACATGGAATATGAACAGAGAGGCTTGTGCCTGTGAGATGTAGATAAACAGAGTAATTTAGAATAGATAGGGAAAGAAGAAAATTACATGTTGGAAATGGGCTAAATTTGGGGGCAAAGAACAATAGGATTGAAGATTTTGCTCAATAAATCATTGGCCAAGAACTCCTCTCATGAGATGCACAACCATTCTTTGCTCAGGCATTTCTGCTTCCTGGAAAGCCTTGTCTGTTCTTGTCAGAATTTTCAAGCTCTTATTTAACTTCTACCAGCTGCATAAATATTTCTTTCACAACACTAGCTCATAGCAGTCTCTCCTCTACTGCGCTTATATAGTACTGTTATAAATGTAGTGACACTTAATTTATGTTTAAAGCTGTAATTTAACTTTTTACCCGCATGTCTTGTCTCTTCAGTGGACTTGCAAACTTGAGGAGAATCAGATAGAGTAAAAAATATCTTCTCTATTGTGTAACACAAAGTTATGTATACAGCAAGTACTCAATAAATTTTTAATGAATTTTTAAGATACCAAGTTTTTACTATGTGCATGAAACTTCACTATGTGGGACAAAAGAAAAGAAGACACAGTCCATATTATTATAGTACAGATAATCAAGTTAGATATTTTGTTGAGAAGATTAGCAATATTATGGGAATTTGGAGTTAGAGAAAGACTGTTTTTGAGTGGTCTAAATTTTCTAGAATTAAACATAACAATGCATGTAAAATGTTTAGTACCATGCCTGACAAATAGTAATTTCCCGTAATTATTTAATATCATCACAATTATTATTATTGTTATTAATGTAACCTGTTGACTAGACCTCCCATCTCTAAAATTTTTAAAGATTAATCTATATTAGTGATGTTCTCTACCTCCTATCTGATAGGAATCTAGTTTCAGCACCTCAATTCTTCATGTGAAAAGCATCAGTGATCTTTTAATTGGCTACACCATTGGACATTTTTTATTTCTCATTTGATGAGACTTTTCTGTTGTATTTTGAGACTTTCTCCTCCTTGAAATACTCTCGTCCTTTGGTTTTCTTGATACTGCTCTCTCCTTCTCTACACTTTCTCCAGTGACTCCCTTTCAGTCCTTGTTTCTCCATCAGCTCATTAAATGTTGCCATGCACAGAGTGGTGTCATAGGACTTCTTTACTTCTCTTCTTACTCTACTGATTTACAAAGACTGAGTACCCTTATTCTCTTTCATTTCTTCTACTACTATTCTGTAGTAGAAGCTCTCGTTTCCTATTTCCATACTTCCAAGTATCTATTATTTATCTCTGCTTAAATAGCCCAAATAAACTTTCAAATTTGACATTCCACGATCGTATCTTTCCCACAAAAATGATATCTTTTCCTCCTTCTCTTTTTCCATTAAAAGTTCCACCAGCCTCATAGTCAAAAAGTTTCACCACCCTCATAGTCATCTCAGAACCCTGGAGTCATCCTTTCACTCATTCCTCATCCTCATGCCACAGAGACACACATAACCAATTCCCAACTTCTGTTCATTCTTCTCCCTAAATATCTCATTAATCAGTCTCCTCCTATTTGTGCCCCGTCCGATTCCTCATCATGTCTCCCAGGACTATGCAATAGACTCTTGACTGGTGTCCTTACCTTAAGACTTCATCTATGTCCAGTAAGATCTTCAAACTGCTTCCAAAGCTATCTTTCTTAAATATAAACCTAACCATGCCATCCCCCAACTTTTAATGGCTTCCTTTTGCTTTCATATAAAATTCAAAATCCTTACCATATTATACAAGGTACTTTATTATCTGGGCGCACTTTTTAATTCCTACCTCATTTCTCTCATTTCATTATTATTCCTATATAACTTACACTTTGGTAATACTCAAATCTAAATTATTCCAAGAATATGCCTTGTTTCTTCACGCTTCTATACATTTA